GGAGGGGGAGGGGGGGAAAAGGAAAATGAGCTGATTCCGGGAACCCAAGAGGCAAGCGAATTTTGGGAATGATGAGGGCAACAAATGTATAGATGTGCTCTACACAATTGATCTATGTATTGTGATGAATTTTATGAGCCCCAATAAATTGATTAAAAAAAAAGATGTTGTAAATGTAAGTACAAAGTACTGCTTGTAGGGGTATAGATCATAGAACCCTATAATATGCATGCACAACTTATTAAATAAAACAAAACATGTTTGAACATGAAAAAAAAATAGTTTCAAAACAGCATGAATTGGTTCCTTCCCTTCGAGCTTTATTTCTTAGTGTTATGTGCGGGACAGTGTTCATCTGTAAAGCAGAAAGCTCTATCATGGGGGGGGGATTGATGTTATGTGGGGGGGCGGGGTGCTGGTGTTTCCTCCAAGGAAAGACAAGGGAGCAGTGGAAACAAATCATTGAATTCCATGAAAGTTACAGAAGAGCAGCCACGATTTGACGTCATCTCCTGAAGGTCCTAACAAAGACGTGGTTGGTAGGTGCCATCGAGTCGGTTCTGAACCCAGGCAACCCTCTCTGTACAACAGAACAAAACACTGCGTGGTCCGATGGCGCCCTCACAATTGTTCCTCTGCCTGAGCCCATTGTTGCGGCCACGGTGTCAATCCCACCCCACTGGGGGCCTTCCTCTTTGTGCTGACCCTCCACTTCACCAAGCACGAGGCCTGGTCTCTCCTGACAACATATCCAAAGTATAGAAGATGAAGTTTCGCAACCCTTGTTTCTCAGGAGTACTCTGACTGTATTTCTTCCAAGACAGATCAGTTTGTCAGTTTGTCAGTCCCTGGTACTTCCGATATTCTTTGCCACCACCACAATTCAAATTCAAACTTCTTCATTCTCTCAGAGTTAATGTCCAATTTTCACACGGATATGAGGCAATTGAAAATACCATGGTTTGGGTCACCTGTACCTTCGATTCTCTAAAGAGATCTTCTGCAGAAGATTTGCCTAATGCAATGCATCTTTTGATCTCTTGACTGCTGGTTCTATGAGCAATGAGTGTGGACCCAAGCAAGACAAAATCCTTGACAACTTCAATCTTTTCTTCGTTTACCTGTTGGTCCAGTGGTGAGGATTTTGGTCTTCTTTACATTGAGTTGTAATTCACACTGAAGGCTGCAATCCTTGATCTTGATCAGCAAGTGCTTCAAGTCCTCCTTACTTTCAACAAGCCAGGTTGTTTCATCTGCGTATCACTGGTTTTTAATAAGCCTTCCTCCAATCCTGATGACATCTCCTTCTTCATCTAATCCAGTTTCTTTGATGATTTGCTCAGCATATAGATTGAATAAGTATGATATGAGGATACAACCCTGACACACAAATTTCCTGATTTTAAACCATGCAGTATTGCTTTGTTCTGTTTGTACAACTGCCTCTTGATCCATGTATAAGTTCTGCATGAACACAATAAGTTGTTCTGTAATTCCCAAGCTTATCTTTAGTTTGTTAGGATCCACACAGTTTTTTATGATCCACATAGTCGAATACCTTGGCATAGTTAAGAAAACACAAGGAAACATCTTTCTGGTATTCTCTGTTTTTAGCCAAGATCCAACTGGCATTGGCAATGATATGCCTTGCCCCATATCCTCTTCTGAATCCAGCCTGGCCCTTTGGCAGCTTCCTGTCAATGTATTGTCAATGTATAGAACCTTGTTCTATAATTCGAACATTCTGTTGAATCACCTTTCTTTAGAAGGGGTACAAATATGGATCTCTTCCAGTCAGTTGGTCAAGTAGCGGTCTTCCAAATTTCCTGGCATAGAAGAGCAAGTGCTTCCAGTGTTTCATCAGCTTGTTGAAACATTTCAATTGGTAGCCCATCAATTCTGGGAAGCTTGTTTTGGGCTAATGTTTTCAGTGCAGCTTGAACTTCTTCCTTCAGCATCATTAGTTCTTGCTCAAATGCTGCCTCCTGAGACGGTGGAATGCTGACTAGTTATTTCTGGTCCAGTGACTCTGTATATTCTTTCCATCTTTTTTTTTTGATGCTTCCTGCATCACTCACTCTTTTGCCCATAGAATCTTTCAAGATTGCAACTCAAGACTTGACTTTTTTCTTGAGTTCTTTTAGTTTAAGGTGTGCTGAGCATGTTCTTCCTTTTTGGTTTCTAACACTAGGTCTTGGCACATTTCATTATAAAATTTTACTTAGTCTTCTCAAGCTACCCTTTAAAGTTTTCTGCTGAGCTCTTTGACTTTATCATTACTTACATGTGCCGTAGGTACTCTATGATAAGAGGAAATTTCAGTCTCTTCTGACATCCACTTTGGTCTTTTCTTTCTTGACTGAATTTTTAATAACCTTTTGCTTTCTTCATGACTGATGTTCTTGATATCCTCCCCCAGCTCATCCAGTCTTCTGTCGTTAGTTTGCAATGCAGCAAATTTGTTCTTGAGATGTTCTAGAAATTCAGGCGGGATAAATTCAAGGTCTTATTTTGGCTCTCCTGGACTTGTTTTCATGTTCTTTAGCTTCAACCTGAACTTATATATGAGCAATTGATGGTCTGTTCCACAGTCAACCCTTGGTCTGGTTTTAACTGTTGTTATTGAGCTTCACCATGGTCTCTTTCCACAGATGTAATCAACTTGATTTCTGTGTATTCTGTCTGGAGAAGTTCATGCTTATAGTCACTATTTGTGTTGTTAAGAAAAGGTATTTTCTGGACAAGTTGTTGGTATTGCAAAATCCTATCATGTGATCTCTTGCTTCATTTCTGTTGCCAAGATGGTATTTCCCAGCTTCTCTTCCTTCTTCTTTGATTCCAACTTTTGCATTCCAATCACCAATAATTATCAATGAATCTTGATTGCATACTTGATCAACTTCCAAATGAAAAGATTGGTAAAATTCTTCAATATCATCCTAACTAGCTTTGGTTGTTAGCGACAACTTTGAATTACAGCTGTATTGGTTGGATTTTTTTTTTTTTATTCCAAATGCCAATGCCAGTCCGTTTTAGCTCAGTAACACCTGGGATATGGATCTTGATGTGTTCCATTTCACTTCTGGTGATTTCTATTTTCCCTTGATTCATACTTCACACATTCCAAGTTCTGATTATTAGTAGTTTTTTTTTTTTGCAGCTGTTTCTTCTCACCTTGAGTTGTCCCCTATCAGCAATTGAACCTCCAGCAAGCTCCCTGCCACACGCTTTCCTCCCTCCCTCCATGCCATCATCGTCACTTCTCCTTTGAGAACGCAGCTCTTCCTCAGTCACATTTCAAGAGCCTCCTGCCCAGCGGGCCCCATGTCTCCAACACTGTCTGACAATGTCCTGCTTCCATTTATTAGGCCTTCAGTGGCTGACAATGTTTCCACACTTAGCATTCGGTTTTCAGTGATTACTTCCTCTGAAGTGGACAGACATTATTCTTTGTAGGGTGGACTTCGTCTGGAAGCTCCATTGAAACCTGTTCACTTTCAGTGACCCTGTCGCTGCCATGTGAAATACCAGTGACAGAGCTTCCAGTGTAACAGAACACATAAGCCACCACCATAGGCCAAACTGACAGACAAGTGATGGCCCAATGAAGATACTTATTACCCTTCAGTGGAGGACTCTCTCCAGATGTCCCAATTCATCTAGACATTGCTTTCAACATTTCACCCCACCCACTGCCAGGCACAGTGCATTGCGTTCCTGTATTCCCAGGGTCTCCAGAAATAACCAGGGCTCTCTCGTTAGTCAGAGAAAACACTGTCTCTACCACTGCCTATGAGTAGCCCCCCTGAGTTTCCCTGAGAAATGTCAATCATTGGTGGGTAGATTCTACTCACCATTGCATCTCCCAGGGCCTATCCCCATGAAAAGGCACCTATGTCAGTCCCTAGACCCTTGAAGCACAGTCAAGCCATACTATTCCTGTATGTCTGTCTCTCCCCTATTGTCAGTTTCTAATACAGGGAGTCGTTGAATGTGGAAGTCAAAACAGGCTGAAAACATTTGCTGATTACAATGCTAATTGTTGTAGTTAAGGATGGAGTCGTGGCTCCTCCTCATTTAGCTCCTTACCCTCATCTCTGGTGCTGAAGTCCCTTCTGAGTATGAAGAAATAAAAAGCACCAGAATGGAAACAACTGATAGGGCAAAAAGCATGAATAGCATCAGAAGGCAAATAACAGCAAATGTGTAATAAGCAAGACGAGCTATCGACCACAACACAGAAAGGGATCTCAAAACTTGATAAAGCATAGTTCTCTAGCAGAAAAGGATAAAGTGTATAGACCAGTGGGTCTCAACCTTTCTAACGCCTCAACCCTTTAATACAGTTCCTCATGTCGTGGTGACCCTGTATGTGGGCATATCTGCATGTACGCAGACCTGCCTGGAGACAGAGGGGCAGTGTCTTGGTTCTTAAGACCATGGAAAATATGGTCTTAGGTGACCCCTGTGAAAGGCTCGTTTGAACCCCAAAGGGGTCGCGATCCCCAGGTTGAGATTTGCTGGTATAGACAAATAGCAAGAAGAAATATGACCAGTGACTATATGAAGGCAACTTCAAAAAGTACAGAATAAGCACAATAACAATAGTAGCATTCTCTGATCTACACTGAAAGGCCTGGTGAGGGAGGGAATCTCAGATGGAGTTTGTGAAACTGTGAAAAGTCTATCATTTGACTTCAAGCCAGGTCAATCAAGTGATCGATCATGTTGCTAATATGTGTCCTGAATAGAATGCGATGAGAATGACACGACTTCTGTAGTCTTCTTTCCCCAAACTCATGACAAATCACAGCAATCCATTTTCCATGAGTTGATTTTAACTCATGGAAAAGTCCCATGTGTGTCGAGTAGCCTGTGCACCACGATTGTGATCTATTGGAAGTAGATGGCCTGGTGTGTCTTCTGAGGTTCCTCTGGGAAGGTTCAAACCACACACTTTCTGGTTCGTCGCTGTCATGTTAGATATCATTTGGCTAGGCTCTCCATGGTTTGTCAGACACTGATTGCATTGAGTGCTCTTCCATAACGCAATGTATTATCATCTTCCATGATACGATCAGCCAATTGGTTGATAGGGGTTTTTCTTTGAACTGCTTTGAAGGTGTTTACCTCAATTATATAAATGGATGTTCTGACAAAACTTTCTTTCTTTCTTAATCTCTACTCTTCCAATTGCCTCGTTCATTCCTAAGTGTGCAGAGCTCTTCAGCTTGCCACCTGACCCATGGATTTGGGACTTGCCAGCTCCCACAATGGCAAGATCCATTGTGTTGAAGTAAGTCTCTCTCTCCACTAATTTAAACTCTTCACTGTTTTGTTCCCTTAAAGGACTCAGACTTAGACAGTAAGTGGTCCAGAATTTAACTGATTGTGCCCTAAAGGCAAAAAATGCGTTGACTCCAGTTTAATCATAAGAAGAATATTAGACAAATCCTACTTAGTGGACATTCTACAAAGACACGTGACCAGGACTCCTCAAAGCTGGCAAGGTCATCAAAACTGTGCACAGAGCCCAGAGGAGCCCAAGAGAACATGGCAATTAAGTGCAGTGTGGTATCTCTGCCCACCAAAAAGCCTTTAGGGAAAACAGGACTTCAGCTAATAATACTGTATCAACATGTATTCATTACTAATGCAAGATGGTTAACAGGAGATAGGTGTGTGGTAGACGGGAACTCTGTACTATCGTAACATAGACGGTAAATCTCAAATTAGTTTAGAAATTAAAAAAAATCTTATTTAAAGAAAAAAGTAATGTGGAATGGTAAAATAAATATCATTTGTCACCTAGCTTCTTTTCAACCATTATTGTTATTTTGGGCTCAATCCAAAAACATTAACTGTTGTGTGCATACATTACACTGAGATCCTTAACCTAGTGGACATCTGGGATATTTTCCACACTTAGAAATAATGGAACATGCTTGTTCCATGTCTTTGAACACATCATGTCAGGGTCAGAAACAGGGCTGTTGGGCCTACACATTTTCAATTTACCAGATAATGTCAAACCTTGACTCAAAGGGCTAGTACTGTCTCTACTTCACGAGCAGCCTCAGAAAGACTTTTCTTCACAAACGTACCGACATTGGCTACGGTTGACTGTGCAAAATGGCCAGTACAAAAGCTCCCCTTCCAGTGAGGGTCAGCATCCATCCCAATGTTGGTTGGCTAAGGGCATTTCCTTCCTGGATTGTTTGTACATTTTCTTACACCCATCAATCATCTTTAAAACATGTTTACTAGGTCATTTCTGTGTGCTTTTAATGGGCTTGCAAGAATTAGAAAAAAACAACTAAAAACCATGTTTGTTAATTAATCGCAAATTTCTCCTCCTCATCCATTCTCTTCTAACTCTAACGGTATAAGGGCCTGAGTGCACCAAGGCCATGCTCATGAGGGTGGGTAGAGGAGAGAATTTCTCCACTCACCGAGAGTGCCCACCTTCTGCTCTGAGTGAAGATTGCTCAGGGTTCTGCAGGGAGAGGGCCCCTCTGAGCTCAGACTGCTTCCCACTGTATGCCAGGTCTGTGGCAGGCCCTTAGTGGGTGGGAATGGTGAGGATGGTTTCTACTCTTAGAGGCTTGAATCCAGGAAGGTACGCTCCTCCTGAGAACTGACCCTTGAACCTGCCACAGCCTGCAGACACACAGTGTGGCTGCTGCTGGGTCTGCCTCTCTCTCCTCGTGGTCTGGGATTACATACTCTTACACCTCCTGAAAGTGGCATTAAGTTCAGACCAATGGAAGAATGATGATGGGCTGGGGCCATGTTACCTGCTGGGACATTGGTGAAGTTCTTGAACTTCTTGATCTTAAACCGTTTTACAGCCACTGGCTGGCCTTGGTAGTGAGCCTGGTAGATGACGGTGCCGCTCCCACCTTGGCCCAGGATGCTGCTCTCATCCTCACTGTGCTCCAGCTTCCTGTTCTCCAGGAAGAGCCTGTTGACGACACAGTTCAGGGGTCACCAGTAAGCTGGCTAAGGAGAGGTCCATGGAGGCATGGGCCAGGCCCTGTATGCAGTGGGTGAAAATCTATGCTTGCACCTGGATTTGTTCCCTAGTGAGAGGAGGTCCCAGCCCCACCACAGATAGTCCTGGCTCAGACGTACCTGCAGGATGAGACTGATCTGGGTTACCCCCAGCCCTGCTCCTTGCCAGCTGGACAAACCTGGGTAAGCTGTGCAGCTCCATAAGCTTTCATTGCCTTACCTATTAAACAGTAGTTCCTTGCTCATAGATGATGATGGCTAAGGATACATAGTGAAAACTTAGTAAGTAGAGGATTGAGAAAAAGTCTCCTTTGGGGTATTTTCCTCTAAAAGTTCCACGTTTTGAAGGCGAGTGTGGTAAAGTGAAATTACCTGATAATTTCTATCCATAGTCTTTGTAACTCCACTAAATGAATGGTTGGAAGCATGCAAATAAAGTATAGAGGACTCTAACTCAGGGATTGACCGGCTTTGCCATTCGACTGAGTATAAAGTGAGTCATCTCAAAAGTGGAAGAGAGAATCCCACAACATTCAAGAAAGAAAAGCCACCCGAGGAAGCATGCAAGGTCTCTGTGTTAAGCGGAGGTGGAAGCAGGGGCACCGGAGGCTGCAGCACTGAAGCCATGCGATTGAGTGGTAGGATTTCCAGCCCATGGAATGAGTTAAACCTGAGTACCTAAGGCTGACTTGCAGAGTGAGGTGCCCTTTAGGCATTTATCAGCACTCAGTGAGCTTTCTACCACTTGCCTGAGGAGGGCAGAGGCCAAGGGACTACATGGCTGAAAGAGCAACGTGACTGTTGGCACGGCTGAGAAGAAGCTCTACTGTGAGCAAGGAACTGTATTTTTAATACTTTCTGATCTTGATTTCCCTCATAACTTCCCTCATAAACCCTATACTGATTTGCATTGCTTTTGAGTTCTGTGTGCCCATTTCAATGGATTATCAGAGTCAGCAGAGAAGTAGAGTGACGCAGAGTGTTGTGGAAGGGATGTTGGTGTCAGAATAAGGTACAGAAGGATGGAAGGTGAAGGCATATCCGATCTCTGCCTTCTGGGGATTGGCCTAGAGCTGGTATGGAGTTAGATTATCTATCCTTTCTGGTGTAGTCAGGAGGTCAGGCAAGGCTCCCCCACCATTTCCTTAGCTAGGACCCATTAAGAAACTGCATTTATTTACTGTAGACTAGCTGTTTCCCTATTTATTTTTGTTAAGCAAAATAATTTTATCAGTCATCACAGTAAATGACTAGGATTTCACCAGGAGGGGGAGAGTTTAACCTTCTTTCTTGTTTGTACATTTTAGTCCTAGGTAACAGCAAGATTTTGGGTGGGGTCTTGGACATGAAGGTAGCTCTGGGGCACACCAGCCTTCTCTGCAGACCTTCCAAAGGATGGAGGTTATAGATTATGAATCCAAATATGTTTGGGGGCAGAGAGAGGCCTCTGCATCTGGGTACCTTGGAGGCGAGGCATCACAGAGACTGTAGGCCCCTTGGGGCTTTGAGCCTGGTGCTCCTTGGGTCAGCATTGAAGGTGAAGGCCTTTGTGGATTTCCTTCACTCCTTAAGCTTTTGATGTAGGTCACTCCCACCCCCCCCCACCCCCCTCCCCAATCCCTGCTTCATCTTCTACCCTATCTCTTCTTCCTTGAGTTTCTCCTTTTCAGAAACAATAAACCAAAAATGGCAAGGCACGGAGCTAGGGAGGTGTGGGAGAGGGAAGAAAAGTAGAAAGGAAGGAAGTATGGGAAGAGTGAATGGAAGGAAAGGATGAGGGAAGATAGACTGCAGAAGAGAATTTTTTTTTCCTTTCTACTGATGAGGTAACTGGGAATGTTGAAACAAAATAAGGGGGCCATTATTCAGTGTCGGAGACGTTTAAAACTGATTCATCCAGAAGCATGCTTGCCATTCCCAACTGTGCGCTGCTCAAACCAGTCCACTGCCACTGAGTTGATCCCAACTCACAGGGGCCCTATGAGACCTCGGAGAAATCCCCCTTCTGGTTTTTGAGATTGTAAATCATACCAGGGGCAGACAGCCCCCTTTTTATCCCACTGTAATGCTACAGAATATTCCACATCTACTTTATTAGGGTTGAAGGAGAAATTTAGAAAAAGGAGAATAAAAATATTTTTACAAAAGAAAGTTTGTTTCCTGAAAGAAACCAGGTATAACATTCCTTTGAGAGAGAAAATAGCAGGACTTCATAACTCTAAAAATGTTGGGAATCACTGATGTCAACGTATGCAGAGTTCAAAGGATAGATTTTGGTTTCTATCAACAAGAAAAAATACCATCTTTTACCAAGGACTTGGCTTTACTGCCATTAGTACTGCCATACTGATAGGGGTTTACTGTTGGATGGGGCCACAAACAAGCTTCGATTTCCTTCAGAACTCCCTCTAGTTATGATATTAGATTATTATAGGTGAAACAACCTGGAAAAGACATAGGGACCTAACTTCTTCTCCTTAGGGCATGAGCTATGAGTGAGTATGTGCCGCAAAGGGAACATAAAGCTATAGGATCGAGACGCTACTAAAGGGCTGGGGAACTGGAGCCGTTGTACTTACCTTCCATTGCTTGAGCTGGCTGTCAAGAACAAATCAGAGGGAGGGCCAGCTCAGCAGAGAGGAGCATTAGCTACTTCTAGGGAAAGAAAGTGCAGGGTCCCAGAAGAGCATCTCTTGAACAGTGCAGTCAGGGCCTCAAAAACTAAACACCAATATGACCGGGTTCCTTCAGGCAGCCAGGATGGGTATCGCGAAAGTCAACTCACACTATATTGGTGGAAGTAATGAATGGAGTAGAGGCTGGTGTTTTGAGACTGGGAGGCCATTGAGAATGGTACTATAGTTAGGTATTATGGGGGCAGGGGCAGGGAGGTCACTTGGTATCTGCTCAGTAGACAAAACATTTAAAAGTAGAGCCTCTTTGCCCGCACCTATGTTTTTCAAAGGCAGCAGAGCACTGGCACCTACCTGGCTGGAAAGTCGGTCATGAACAGCTCCGGCACTAGTTCCTGCAGGGGCACGGGGAGGTCTGGGTGTCTGGGGCAGGAGATGAAGTCCTGTTCGATGGCAGTCAGCACACAGTCTTCCATGTCAAAGTAGTGCACACCCTCCTCCATCTCACTTTGGTCAGTGCTCCCAGTCCAGGATGCCTCGCAGACTGGGCAGGGTACATACTGCTCCATGAGGGGGGTCCCATCACTCTCAGTTGCTGTTAGGGCTAGCAGGGACAGAGCAGGAGATCATTCACACCCAAGTACTGCAGAGGTCTCTGAACCCATGTCTCTGACCCCGAGACTCCCAGAGGAGTCCTGCCCTCTAGAGAGGACTGAAGGTTCTTATTTGGAGAGTGCTATTAATCCTCAAAGGAGCCTTGGTGGTCTACTGGTTATATGTTGGACTGTTAACTACAAAGCCAACAGTTTGAAACCCTCAGCCATTCCGTGGGCCTCCTACTCCCATAAACAGTTACAGGCACAGACAACCCCAGGAGCAGTTCTGCCCTGTCCCACAGGGTTGCTGTGAATCAGAATTGCCTGGACGGACTGAGTTTGTTTCAAATTAAGCCACAAGGATCTGCACAGAGACATCTCAGGGAGACCTCAAGCCACCCTGGGTGCTCTGGACCCTGAGCAGGCTGGCAAGAGGGGGCTGATAGGAGGTGGGCGTCCTGTCTGCACAGCTCAGGCTGATTGGATGTTGTACTTGGGTCTGAACCCTGTCATGCCTCAACAATGGAATAATACCAATGCCTAGGAAGACATTCTTAACCTTTGAAACATAAAGTTCCTATGTTCCCTTCTAGAAAAGTAGCATAGTAGAAGAAATGAGAGCAAATTCACTTAGACAATAGTCATCTTCTAAGGATTTCATTAGCAGATAGCTCGCATTGCTCCCCACATCTGGGACAGGGTCCCAGAGGACCCTCCCAGGTGCCCACACAGAGGCACCTGTAGGGCAGGGCAGAGAGAAGCACCTAGGGTTGTCTCAGCCCCTCTGACAGCTGTAGGTCTGAGAGTAGCACCTCACACTTGGAGGGGATATGGGCCTTGTCGGGCCTGGCACACCCCTGTCTTGGTCTGCTCAGTGGAGCCCCCTCACCTTCCATTGACAGTTGAACAAGCAAAAGGTGGACAGTGCTCTCCAGCACCTGCAGGGAGTCCAGCATAGATGTGGTCTCAGAAAGGGGCCAAAAAAGGCAGATGAGACCCACTTGCCCCAACAGTGCACTGCACTATATTCTGAGGGCCCATTTCTGAACCTATTTTCCTTTAGGACATCCTTTCTGCCAATATCCAAAGACGCCAGATGCACCCTTCTAATAAAAGAAGCCCTGGTCTTTTGAGAAGAGATCCACAGTTTGGGTCCAGAGTTCAGAACTTTCCTGTTGCAATCTCTTAAATATCTACCATTTTGTGTTCCTTGGGTGCTGGTGACCACATGGAGGTGAGGGAATGGGTGTGGAGGATGGGGGCTGTCTAGAGAGGCAAGTGTAGAGCTGGATTTTCAACCCAGTTGCCACACAGTCTCTAGCATCAGTAGGTCATTGGCTGTGCTACATACAGCCCCCTTTTGGACCTCCCCCTTTGATGCTCACTGTTGGCCTTGGCCCTTTTCCTCCTCTCATTTTGCAGGCTTCCCCACCCCCCACATGGCCTGTGGGTTCATCTCCAGCCCTGTGCCCGACAGAGGAGATGACACTGCTCCACTTCAAAAAGCATTTTTTGGGGGAAAGGGCGAGTGAGTGGTAGATGAAGAAACTGATCGAAGGGCCGGCCTTGCGAGTGATTTCATCACCCCTGGGGATTCAGGGCAAGAAGGAAAGGAGCCCTGGGTGCTGGGCAGATAAAGCCCCCTCCCCATCACCCACACGCTACCACCTGGAGGCTGTCCCCTCTCCTCACGGTGTAGACAAAGCAAGGGTTGAGGTTTACAGCTAGCATCTTTTTGGACCACACCACAGTACATGGGCTTTCATTCTCATATGGTGTCAGCAGCCAGGAGGCAAATTCCTTGCACATTCTCTTTGATTCTGTGTCCCCCATCTGTCCATCACTCACGCTGGGAGCTGGATTCCTGGGGGACCAGGACCCTCCACAAAAGACTGTTAAGACCCTCTTGGTTTCCTTGGGCTGAATCCCAGCAAGGTTTCTTCTCCTCAGAGGAGGAGCCTCTGATGGATAAAGAAATATCCATAGCCACAAAGGCTTGATTTAAACAATGTGCTCTTACCGGGAAACCACTGATCAATCAAGGAGTTGACATGATCCGTGATGAAAGCCATTGCCGAGAAGTCCCTCATTTCTGACTGGCAGATGATTTTGATCCCGCCACTCTTTTTCTTTGTCCAGTTCACATCAGAGGACTCCACGCTAGACAGCAGACACAGACAGGAGCTTAGCACATCATTTGGCCCAACCCTCTTGGGTTTCTCTGCTTTCAGAACCCAGCTCCAGCCCCATCTGAGAAGGTCCCTCCTTCGGCTGTCACCGGACCTCATCATGGGCTTGACGCTTCGGTGAAACAGGCAGAATTTGGTACTGACCTTAGATGTGACCCTGGGGGAGTTTATTGACCTATTTTGAATTCTAGTTTTCTTATCTGGTAAGTGGTAACTATGAAGTTTAAGTGAGAGAAAAAAAAAATAGAAGCATGAGACACCAAGAATGGTCCAAAGCAGAGCCTCTCCTAACAGTTATTTTCCTTCGATCTCTTCTCACAGAGCTGAAGAATATGCTGAAATGTCACTGTGAATATTGAATGCTATATCTTTTATGTTCATATTTCTATCTAAAAAAGAAAGGGAGAGTGTAAAGGGAACTGCATTTGGCATCGTTCTAGCTTTTGCATGGGAACAAGCAAGAGCAGAGTTATGGGAGCAGAGAGCCAAATGGATGGCTGTGAGCCCCTCCTAAGAGTGCCATGGGAGGGGCTGGAAAAAACCCTTGTACTTCACTCCAGAGCCCAGAGCCACCCATTAGCCTCATGTCCTGGAATGTAACCATCACCTCCTCCCTCCCTTTCCCATCGGCCAGACACCACTAGCTTCTCTTGCACGAAGCGTGGGAGGGATGAAGAGATGGGAACTTCTGGAACGGTACAAAAGGCTCTCACATGTCTACGAGTAGTCATGGTACAGTGCTCTCAAAAGCAGAATTTCTAAAAGAGGGCAGTAGTCTCCTGGTGGCTTCCTCACCTTCCATGTAGGAGAACTAGGTTCGATTCTCAGCCCAGGTACCTCCTGGGCACCCACCACCTGTCTGGGGAGGCTTGCATGGTGTTCCGATGCTTCATCAGAACTTCCAGACTAAGAATAACGGCTTGGCTAGTTATTCCTGAAAACCAGCTACTACAAGACTTATGGTTCACAATGGTCTTATCCCAATGTGCATGGGGTCACATAATGGTGGTCAATTCAATAGTAGCTAACAACTACAAGAGTGGATGAAAAATCCCTTGCTGAAGGCTACCACAGGGTCATTACCATGGCACCATCATGCGGACCTGGCCAAGAGGGCTCTGAATGGCCCTACCTGAGGTAGCCTCCATCAAAAGTGACCAGGAGCCCTTCCTGCCAATAGATGGTCTGATTTCTTCTCACTCTGAACGTGCTGCAGCGGTTCCTCTGGTTCCCTGTAAAGCTGTAAATGGTCACTCTTCGGCTCCTGCTTTTAGTATTCTTCTTGTTTTCAAAAAGCTAAAAGAGAGATAAAAGTTCCTGCTTAAGTATTCCAAGCTCTGCACAAGCCCGGTAGCTCTCTAAGGAGGCTGGCCCGCTCTCATCTTGATAAATAGCCTTTCCCATCACCTCGCTTCCAGGCTACGCATCCCTGCGCCAAATAAACTCAGCACATCCAAGGGGTCTCCCGGATAATCTGGTTGCAAAATTTTCCTAAGTGGTTGAAAATAGGCTTTTCATTTCAACCTTTCGCTTACATTCACAAGTAAAAATTTATGTTAGACAATGTGAAACATACAGAAAAATGTTAGGAGAAAATAAAACACCAATTTAATACTAAGCAGAGAGATAATAAGATTTTGGTATATTTTATTCCAGATTTCTTTCATGCATGTATACATATATTTTTATAAAATAGCTGAAGCCATAAAACCCTTGCTATTCAGTCAGCTCTGACTCATGTCCGTGTGGCATTGTGCTCCATAAGGTTTTCAATGCAGATTTTTCAAGAGTCTAACAGAACTTTATTTTAAGGCATTTCTCAATGGACTCAAACTTCCAACCTTTCAGATAGCAGTCAAGCACATTAACCATTACTTTATTTGTGCCACTGTCCTTTTAATTTTACATATTAAAAAAAACCTTGATGTTTCCTAGGCCCTTACAAATATTCAAGGAAGTCCTTATGGTGTAGTGGTTGTATGCTGGGTTGTGATCTGCAAGGTCATTAGTTCAAAACTACCAGCCACTCCTCGGGAAAAAGGTGGGACTTTCTACTCTCTTAACCAGCTACAGTGTCAGAAATCCACAGGTACAGTTCTATCCTGACCTATAAGGTCATCAGTGGTGACTCAATGGCAGTGAGGAAAGACATTCAACTTTCTTGTGCTTAGTGCTATCTATAACTGTTTACTGAGTATTCTTATTACAAGAAATGAATAAGGAAGACTGGAGAAAACGGATGCATTTGGATTCTGTCCCTGGTGAAGAATACTGAATATACCATGGACTGTCAGGGGAACAGACAAATCGGTTTTGGATGACGTATAGCAAGCATGTTCCACAGAAGCGAGATGCTGAGGCTTCTCCTCACATACCACGAACATGTTATTAGGAGGGTCTAGTCCCTGGTGAAAGACACCATATTTAGCAAAGTAGAGGGTCAGAGAAAAGAGAAAAGCCTTCAAAGAGGTGGATTGGCACAGTGGCTACAATAAGGGGCTCAAACATAAGAGCAATTGTGAGCAATTGTTGGTACAGGACCGCTCAGCGCTTTGTACTATTAGTACAAAGCACTGCACATGAATTGGAACTCACCTGATAATACCTAATAATTGTTCTTGATATTTTCCCCACTTTGGGATGTTTAAGTTGGTTTCAATATGTTGCTTCCAGAGTAAGTCATTATAAATGTGAAAAAGCATAAAGCCATTTTCTGATTTCAATGATGTCTTTAGTTCAGGTTTTTAGAGGAAGGCTTATTGGGTCAAAGGATCTAATGGCTTTAATGCTGTGTACATACACAGAGGAATCACTTTGGACGTTATCCCACGTTTATATCCACTAATCATAGTATGATCTGCTTACTCTGTAGAGCAAAGCATTTAATACTTATAAATTTGGTAGATGAACCAAGAGCTCTCCATTGAATATCTGTGTATAAACCCCCAAAACTTTACTGCTGTCAAATCACTTCCGACTCATAGCTACCTTATAGGGTTGCTATAAAAGACAATCTACTGCTTTTAAAAGAAAAGTGTATTTTCAACCATTTAGGGGAGATGTGCTGCCAGAGTATGCAGGAGACCCTTTGGATGTGCTGCATTTATTGGCACAGGGATGTCTAGCCTGGAAGTGAGGTGAGGGGAAAGACTGTCAAGACAGGGCAGGCCTGCCTCCTGAGGTTGCACTGCTCCATGGAGTTTTGTGGCTATGCATCTTTCCAGGAGCAGACTCGCTCATCATCTCCTGCAGAGTGACTGCTGTGTTTGAATGCTGACCTTTAGGTTAGCAGCCTTATTCTTAACTATGGAGCAGGCCTTCTGGTATGTGCGCATAGTGACAGAAAATGTGGTAATGGCTGAAGGGGATGGCTGCATACCAAGGCTGATGTGATTGGTGTGACTGAATTAATTGCACATGCCAAAAAAAAATTCAATTGGCAAACATTGCGTTATATATGTTTTCAATGGAAAAAAAGTGGACTTGAGTTTCTTCGTGGATTTGCATTCATCTGATAACTGTAGAGCCTGAACTCTACTGCCTTCCTTTTGCCAACCATCTGAATTTCAATAGGTGTCCCCAGTGGGAAGCCGGCTTGGAGCTGGGGCCTCACAAGAAGCCTCACAAGAAGCCATTGACCGCCCACTCAAAGCTCAGGGCAGCAGGAAGAGTTCAAAGGGAGGGCAGGGTGAGGGATTTGGAATCCCCAGGAGGGTCAGCTCCTGCATCTAGCCCTTTCAATCTTCTCTACAAACAAATCTCCTCACTGGTAATACAGATCACAACATTTATAACTTTTCAGGCTCTTACGTATTCTTATTATTTCAGCAAAAGGTGAAGATCAAGAATATCTTTATTTAGCCAATAAGTTATAATACAAAACACACCATCTAATTAGAATGTAGCAAATGTAAATTTATATGGAGTACCATGTTAATTATTCAACAGTCAGGGTATTAGGTCAGTGCTTCTCTACATGCAGAATGGTGAGAATTCCCCCATCCATACTCTCCAGGGTTGACTCTTAGTTTTGCTATAGTTGGTGGGTAGTAGTGGGGCTTGATAATTTGCATTTCTAATGACTTCTTAGACGGGGCTGACTGTTGCTGGTTGGGAAATCACACTTTGAGAAACACTAATCTAAGCAAATAATACATGCATAATTATACCTGAAAGAAATCAAGAATACAACACAAAGAGAAATATGTACACCTATGATTATTTCAGCTATTTCCACAATAGCAAAGCCACAGAAACAACCCCAAGCCCCAATTTTAGAGGAGTGGATAAACAAGCTCTGGTTTATCCATACATGGGAATTTTAGGCATCGATCAAAAATAACAACTATCTTAAAAGACATGAACAAAACTGGAGAGCATTATGCTTAACAAACTGAGTAAATCTAACAAATATAAATATTTAATATCAACCCGATTATAAGGAAAAACAAAGTAGAATAGATGTGGTTTACATAACAATAGACAAGACTATACCTCAATAGACAAGACATCAAAACGACCACGAGGGGGCCAGGGACAAGGGTAGAAACGGGGGAAGGGAGGACCCGGAGGAGGTAGGACAATAATGGAGGGTGTAACAGGACATTCTTGCTGATTTCATTTCTTCAGATGGGTTGTGTAAAATATATATAATGTTTCTTTTAAAACTTACAAAAGAATCCCTCCAGATTCCTCATCCCTCAAACCTAAATAATGTTTTTAGTGATTTTATATACATATGTATTATTATATAGACTATATTGTATATATATACATATATATAAATATATTAACTCCTAATAAAATGTTTTGTTTTGTTCTGTTTCTTAAAGAGGAGAAAAAGTAAAATATAAATGGAGTCTCTAATGACAAACAAAAAAAACATGCATAATATTGTCTCGTACGAAATTAACTTTGACAGCAATACCGCTGGACCTCACTTTAATAAATCCAGGCCACCACATAGTAAATAACAACTTGTGTTAGGTCTTTAAAGACCTCCATGCTGCTCAAAGGGTCTGGGGTATGGTGAGTCCATAGATTGGAATCTCACTCACTGTCATTGAGTTCATTCTGACTTATAGCGACCCTATATGAAAAACAAACAAACAAACAAACAAACTCATGTTCTTCAAGGTTTCCAAGACTGGAACTCTTTACAAGAGTAGAAAATCACATCTTTCTCCCATGGTGCTTTGAATCTGTCACCTCCACTATGCCAGGGCTCCTTGGACTGACTTGTGTCTTCCCCCTCCTGACATATGTGTTGTGAATCCTAACTTCTATGCCAGTAGTTACAATCCCATTTGGCAATGCTTGTTTTTGTTATGCTAATATGGCAAGCTTAGTGTAAAATGTGCCTGGACTCAAATCTCTGCAGAGAAGAAAGAAGATTAAACAAACAAGCAAAGCAGAGGTGTGGTAAGGCGATGCCAGCACCATGGAGATCTAGCGAAATCAGAATGCAGAAGGTGAAGAGACCACACCTTCCTGCAAGGTTCACACAGGGGGAAAGAATGCCCCCAAGCAGGGTCACCATTAGTTGAAATGTATTTGATGGCCATGGGGGCTCCTAAACATGAGAAAATAAATTTGTTTGTTAAAGCCAGTCCCTTGTAGTATTTGTTACAGCAGTATTAACTCTTGTGGAGATGGGCTCAGCCACGTGGGCTTGAACATGCCATCCAGGGGATTCTGGTGAAGGGTCAAGTTCAGAACCACTGTTCTCAAAGGGATGTTCTAGCTTAAGCAAGAGCCCCTCTGATTTGAGAAAGCAGCCCACGCAGAGCTTGTCTCATGCCAGTGGCATTGATTAGCCACTGAGATGACAGCTGATCTTCAGTAGCTGCCACTGGCCCAAAGCATCTCCTTCAGCAGAAACCTGGCTGGCATCGCTCATGCAGAAACGTACTTACCTGGAGGTCCATCTCTGCCAAACTGATCAGCATCCGAGCTATAAACCTCTGCCAGAAGCCAATGGGAACGAAGCTCATCTTAAACAACCTCTGGATGGTGTTGGCTGTGGGATGTCGCATGCCGTGAGTATCCAGGCCAGGCTTGGAGGGAAGGAGGTGAGGCAAGAGGTAGCTGAAACATATCAAGGGGGATAGATGAACAGCGTAACCACAGCTCCACAAGGGCCCTGATATACGGTGGACCACATGGTCAAGGACCTGCTTTGCAGATACATCTCAAGACATTCTGAATTTTATTTCCAGAAATTAGAGTGGTTTATGTGCTGAAAATAAATGCTCCTAGGGAAAATGAAGATGGGCACTGAATATATTCATGAAGGTTTTGAGGAGAAGGCAGAATAATGCTATGGGACTAAAATGTACCTTTAAAACATCTGTGATCATAAAAAATCATATAAATAATATTTTTAAATGTGATTTTTCGCCCCATAAATGAAGTTGTGGAATCATTTAAGATTACCTTGGGTTTGTGACGGAGAAACAAATGCAGCTGCAAAGTCCCAAGGATGATGAGATGTTGGAGATCAAGTAATGTTTTCGGCCTTCTGAGCTATTTATTGTTTTTGGCCAGTGGAGACAACATGATTGCTTTAAAAGTCAGAATGAGGCCATTTGTGCAAGAGAGGGATGTTTTATGAGAACACTGTTGCTCATCATAAAAATGCCATGTCACTGTGTCAGAGAGGCATTTATACCTCTTGTCACTTTAAAACAGTTAAAAGCTGGGGCCTGAGAACTCCCTCAGAGTCCCTGAGAGCCAGCTTCTCCTGTGCTGCAGAGCCACAGGGAGTGGGGAGGAGAAGGCCCCTGTAGCAAGGTCACCAAAGCAACCTGGGTGTGTGTAAACACCAGGGTCTTTTCCTAACAAAGGCTTTGCCTTTGGCTCATCAAACTCTTTAAAACAAACCCATTTAGGCTCAATAAGTGTTTGTAGAACTTTCTGGAAGATACGCCTAAAATGTTTTACAAGGAACATTCAATTATTATAGTCTGGTTGGCCAAGTGTAGGGGCTGGGATCCTGCTCTGAATGTGCACATTCTGTGTCTGGAGCACTCTATTTCTTCATGTTGCTGAATCTCTTTCCTCTCTTGAGAAACAGGAAAAGAAAAGATACCATCCAACTTAGCAAGCATAACTGGCGTGTTTTCTTGAGCACACCATGCCAATAGTATATATTTTTCACACCTCTTAGCTGCTGAGTTGTCAAATACAAGAAATTTTTTGAACGCACTGGTGCATCCCAGTGTTCCAGGTGAGTTCATGACTACCCCACCCATCCAACAATATTCATGGAAGTCAAGGAAGGTCATGATTGAGGGATCAACCCCTCATTGGAGTTTCATTTTTAGGACCCCACTCATGGCTGGTGTAGCAAACAGGACTGAGATTTCCTCCACCTCTAGAAGACTGACAGGGCCTGAGGAGGTGACACAGGAATGACTCTCAGGAGACCAAATCAGTGCGGATAGAATCTGAGTCCACCTTAGCTGACTTGGAGACTGCTGGTCATTTTTATAGGGCTACGTGGCTGAGACAGCAGGATGGTGATGGTGGTCTATGCAGATTCTTGACAAAGATCTGTGAATTTGGGATCAGCACCAGACTCAGGAATTGGCTAGAATGGAGACTAACACAAAGAATATTGGAATCTAAGCCATGTGCTATACCCTCCCCTTTCAGAGTGCTTTTTAGCCCAGGAGGATGTATCTGACAGTGTGAACAGGGAATTCAACATTAAATGTTTGATGTACACCCAGTCTGGATAGTAAGAATTTGAAGGAAGGAAACTTAAGTAAGCGCTTCTAGCAAAATAGTAGACTAAGCAGACATGCTGCAAAGATAATTTACAACAAAGATGTGGGAAACTAGACAAAACAGATACAGATGACAATCCTGGGACCCCACCCCCACCCCAAGGGGTCACGAGCCACAGGTTGAGAACCACTGCTATAGGGCATAGCAAAATCTGCCTTGTGGGTTTCAGAAACCATAAATCTTTACAGGAGTAGAAAACTTCATCTTTCTCCTGCAGAATGGTTGGTGGTTTTCAACTGCTGACCTTGCAGTTAGTAGCCAAATGTGTAATCTACTACGCCACCAGGAGTCAGATGGGTGAATTGTCAGTTGGCCTGATGCAGTGCAGCCATAATCAGTTCTGCCTGCTTAGAATCAGCACTCGTGCTCATAGTAGTGGTTGATGGCACGTGCTCACAGTATTGGTTGATGAAAAGTATGATCTACTCTTGTTTTCCACTCCTGATGATCACAGGAGTGGCCAGCCCCCATCCCCACCTATCCTGTGGCCAGTAATCTCTGCCCCCTGCACAGCCCCTACTCTGTCTGAGAGCTATGACCTTGTGGATCAGCTTCCAATGCATCACCCACCCCCCTCCACCTCTCTGGAGGCATGTGCCCTATCCTTTATCAGAACAGCAAACAGAGAACGATCAGATAGGTGGCCTGTCATTGGTCAGCTTGGATTGGCAAGAACTTCTTCCGTACACCACTGCTTTGCCTACAGCTGTCCTCTGAACCCTAAAGAGTTACTTTCCTGTAAAGACCAAGCATGGCTGTGTATCCAGAAGCTCTGTAACATCCTCTCCCAGAGAAAAAAAAGAAGTGGAGAAGATGAAATATCTGAGTGTAAATCTCCCTGGGAGAACAGGAACCTGAACTAGACATAACCTGAAAATTCAGAGGTAGCACAAGAAGCTCCCCAAAGTTACAAAGTCTCAGCTGCCTTTAAAAAAATATCTCAGGGTTTTCCCTACCCCTGGTGTTCTGGGCTTCAGCAGAGGTAGAAGGGAAAAGGTGAGCTGAGTCTTCGTTCCCCATACTTGTTAAGGTGACCAGATTTTAACATTGGTAAAGTGGGACACCATTGATAAAACTCATATCCTGGCGAAATAGCCACATGGCAGCCGAAAACCATATACCTTAGCTTGTCATGTATTCTTTCCAAAAATTGGGACTTTTAAAAAATGCAGTGGGACATGGGAAAAATCGTTGAAAATCGGGACTGTCCCGCCAAAAGTGGGACGTCTGTTAGTAGCCAACTTGCTCCAGTATGGAAACTTAATCTAACACAACAGAGGACAGTGGCACTTCAACATAGCTAGGAGGTGGTGCACTCATGCTTGGGGAAAGAATAAACTCCCACAGGAAAGTTCATTAACTCTTTCCCCCACCTCAGCCCTACAGTTGAAAGAGACAAAGTCTACACACCAGATTCCTATCAGATAGAAATATTTCAAATCAGCTGGCAGCTCTCTCGCCACACCAGTCGGGGTCTCAAGACTTGATCTAGTTTCATGGAGGATGGTGGTATCCCTTCCCTGGCAAGCCTCAGGTGTGTGTGCTGAGCCTGACTTGGAGGAAAACAAGATTAAGTGAACCTGTATGGGATATTCTGAAGCTCACCAACTGTCCACAGCCCCATAGCTTTAAACAAAACACCCCACCCTGGTTGTCAGCTCATGATCAGAAGGGATTAATTTAAAGAGATCCTGGGTACTGCTCATATATTTAGATTTAATGAAGACACCTTGGGTGGGTGGACAAAGCATTTTGTATATTGTTTTCTAAACTCCCTCATAGGAAGATCCAAGACCTTTTGTTCACCCAAGATATCCCTATATCTATTTTTGTATATAGACCACTTGGTTGTGCCATCTTTTCTTTTTCTCTCATGTGCTCAGAAATTAGCTTGTTTCCCCCCCAAAAAAAACATGATGTTTTATACTGGTCTCTATTTGTTATTCAGGTAATAGTCAAAGGAATAGTATTCTTTGTGTATGTGCCGTCATTCTTGAAGATTCAAAGGTGGCTAAGTCGCGTAGCAATAGCCCATTTCAAGCCAGAGTTGATGGCAGGAAAACTTAAATACGACCTCCTGACAAGGTCCTGGTCTCAAAGTCAGCTTTTAAATTTTCCAAGAGGTATAAGCCAACAACCAATACATCTGTCATGGAGGGATAAGAAAAACTAAAAAATAGTTCTAAAAACAAGACCAACCTTTTAGTACTAAAGGGAGTTCTTTGTATAGAGAACTAATGACAATAGACAACAATCTCAGATCAACATCCAATTATCCTACTTAAATAATATACAAAGTGAAACAAAACCCCAAAATTCTAAATAGGGGACCAGAGATAACATTCTGCAATGAAGATGACAATAAATAGAAAGAACAGAGTAAGTATGAAACAGAGACTAAATTGAGTAGTTTGCAAAAGACAACAAACAATATGAAACTTGGAAAGAAAATGGTAAAAAAACAAACGAATCCCAGAGAAATAAAAAAGAAAGAAGAAAATCATTGAAACTCCTAGTCAGCGAGATTAAAAACAAAAAAGTGAAAAAAATTGAAAATATCCATACACACAAAAAAATCCAAACAAAATGAAATCAGAACAGAAAATTATGGTGAACAATGAAAGCAATAACAACATAAAAACCCTATAGCAAAATTAAAGCAATCAAGTCAAGACTATCAATAGCAACATTGAATGTAAATTGATCAAACTCACTCAAGAGGCAGGGACTAGCAAAATGGATTAAAAAAATGACACATTATTATGTTGCTTGCAAGAAATGCACTTCAGACAAAAAGACTAAAAATCAAAGGATGGGAAATTATTTATCAAGTGAACAGTAGTTTTTTTAAAAAGTAGGACTAGCAATATTAATTTTTGATTAAAACACACATCAAAGAAAAAGCCATCATGAAAGCCACAATTGAACAAGAAGATATAACTATAATAAAAATATTGTTGAAAGACCTAATGAAAGACCCTCCAAATACATTAAAGGAACTCTTAGAGAGTTGAAGAGACAAGTAGACAATACTATACTAATAGAAGATTTAACTCCACCATTTTTGAGAAAACACAAATAAACTGGAAATAAAACCAACAAAGATACAGGAGGACTAAATAACACAATTAAAATGTTCCTATAAACAAATAATAATGAAAACACAAGATACTTAAGCCTTTGGGAAACAACAAAAGCAGCTCTCAGAGGGCAAATTATAGCAATAAATGAGCTCATCAATAAAGAACAAAAATAACCACTTTAACACAACACCTGCAACAATTAAAACAAAAGCA